CTCCCCCTCCGCTGCCCTCTCCCTCCGCTGCCCTCTCTCCCTCCACTAACCTCTCTCCCTCTCTCCCTCTCCCTCCACTGCCCTCTCCCCTCTCTCCCTCCACTGCCCTCTCCCTCTCTCCCTCCACTGCCCTCTCCCTCTCTCCCTCCACTGCCCTCTCTCTCTCTCCCTCCACTGCCCTCTCTCCCTCCGCTTCCCTCTCTCCCTCCTCTGCCCTCTCTCCCTCCTTTGCCCTCTCTCCCTCTCTCCCTCCTTTGCCCTCTCTCCCTCTCTCCCTCCACTACCCTCTCTCCCTCCACTACCCTCTCTCCCTCCACTGCCCTCTCTCCCTCCGCTTCCCTCTCTCCCTCCTCTGCCCTCTCTCCCTCCTCTGCCCTCTCTCCCTCTCTCCCTCCGCTGCCCTCTCTCCCTCCGCTGCCCTCTCTCCCTCCGCTGCCCTCTCTCCCTCTCTCCCTCCGCTGCCCTCTCTCCCTCTCTCCCTCCTCTGCCCTCTCTCCCTCCGCTGCCCTCTCTCCCTCTCTCCCTCCTCTGCCCTCTCTCCCTCCTCTGCCCTCTCTCCCTCCGCTGCCCTCTCTCCCTCCGCTGCCCTCTCTCCCTCCGCTGCCCTCTCCCTCCGCTGCCCTCTCCCTCCGCTGCCCTCTCTCCCTCCTTTGCCCTCTCTCCCTCCTTTGCCCTCTCTCCCTCCGCTGCCCTCTCTCCCTCCGCTGCCCTCTCTCCCTCCTCTGCCCTCTCTCCCTCCACTGCCCTCTCTCCCTCCTCTGCCCTCTCTCCCTCCTCTGCCCTCTCTCCCTCCGCTGCCCTCTCTCCCTCTCTCCCTCTGCTGCCCTCTCTCCCTCTCTCCCTCCGCTGCCCTCTCTCCCTCCTCTGCCCTCTCTCCCTCTCTCCCTCCGCTGCCCTCTCTCCCTCCTCTGCCCTCTCTCCCTCCGCTTCTCTCTCCCTCCGCTGCCCTCTCTCCCTCCGCTGCCCTCTCTCCCTCCTCTGTCCTCTCTCCCTCCTCTGCCCTCTCTCCCTCTCTCCCTCCGCTGCCCTCTCTCCCTCCTCTGCCCTCTCTCCCTCCGCTTCTCTCTCTCCCTCCGCTTCCCTCTCTCCCTCCTCTGCCCTCTCTCCCTCCTCTGTCCTCTCTCCCCCTCTCCCTCCGCTGCCCTCTCTCCCTCCGCTGCCCTCTCTCCCTCCTCTGCCCTCTCTCCCTCCGCTGCCCTCTCTCCCTCCGCTGCCCTCTCTCCCTCTCTCCCTCCGCTGCCCTCTCTCCCTCTCTCCCTCCTCTGCCCTCTCTCCCTCCTCTGTCCTCTCTCCCCCTCTCCCTCCGCTGCCCTCTCTCCCTCCGCTGCCCTCTCTCCCTCCGCTGCCCTCTCTCCCTCTCTCCCTCCGCTGCCCTCTCTCCCTCCTCTGCCCTCTCTCCCTCCTTTGCCCTCTCTCCCTCCTTTGCCCTCTCTCCCTCCTCTGCCCTCTCTCCCTCCGCTGCCCTCTCTCCCTCCTCTGTCCTCTCTCCCTCCTCTGCCCTCTCTCCCTCTCTCCCTCCGCTGCCCTCTCTCCCTCCTCTGTCCTCTCTCCCTCCTCTGCCCTCTCTCCCTCTCTCCCTCCGCTGCCCTCTCTCCCTCCTTTGCCCTCTCTCCCTCCGCTGCCCTCTCTCCCTCCTCTGCCCTCTCTCCCTCCTGCCCTCTCTCCCTCCGCTGCCCTCTCTCCCTCCGCTGCCCTCTCTCCCTCCGCTGCCCTCTCTCCCTCCTCTGCCCTCTCTCCCTCCGCTGCCCTCTCTCCCTCTCTCCCTCCGCTGCCCTCTCTCCCTCCTCTGCCCTCTCTCCCTCCGCTGCCCTCTCTCCCTCCGCTGCCCTCTCTCCCTCCTCTGCCCTCTCTCCCTCCGCTGCCCTCTCTCCCTCTGCTGCCCTCTCTCCCTCTCTCCCTCCGCTGCCCTCCCTCCTCTGCCCTCTCTCCCTCCGCTGCCCTCTCTCCATCCGCTGCCCTCTCTCCCTCCTCTGCCCTCTCTCCCTCCGCTGCCCTCTCTCCCTCCGCTGCCCTCTCTCCCTCTCTCCCTCCGCTGCCCTCTCTCCCTCCGCTGCCCTCTCTCCCTCCTCTGCCCTCTCTCCCTCTCTCCCTCCGCTGCCCTCTCTCCCTCCGCTGCCCTCTCTCCCTCCGCTGCCCTCTCTCCCTCCGCTGCCCTCTCTCCCTCCGCTGCCCTCTCTCCCTCCGCTGCCCTCTCTCCCTCCGCTGCCCTCTCTCCCTCTCTCCCTCCTCTGCCCTCTCTCCCTCCTCTGCCCTCTCTCCCTCCGCTGCCCTCTCTCCCCTCCGCTGCCCTCTCTCCCTCCGCTGCCCTCTCTCCCTCCGCTGCCCTCTCTCCCTCCTCTGCCCTCTCTCCCTCTCTCCCTCCGCTGCCCTCTCTCCCTCCGCTGCCCTCTCTCCCCATCCGCTGCCCTCTCTCCCTCCTCTGCCCTCTCTCCCTCCGCTGCCCTCTCTCCCTCCGCTGCCCTCTCTCCCTCTCTCCCTCCGCTGCCCTCTCTCCCTCCGCTGCCCTCTCTCCCTCCGCTGCCCTCTCTCCCTCCTCTGCCCTCTCTCCCTCCTCTGCCCTCTCTCCCTCTCTCCCTCCGCTGCCCTCTCTCCCTCCGCTGCCCTCTCTCCCTCCGCTGCCCTCTCTCCCTCCGCTGCCCTCTCTCCCTCCGCTGCCCTCTCTCCCTCCGCTGCCCTCTCTCCCTCCGCTTCCCTCTCTCCCTCTCTCCCTCCTCTGCCCTCTCTCCCTCCTCTGCCCTCTCTCCCTCCGCTGCCCTCTCTCCCTCCGCTGCCCTCTCTCCCTCCTCTGCCCTCTCTCCCTCTCTCCCTCCGCTGCCCTCTCTCCCTCCGCTGCCCTCTCCTACTCCGCTGCCCTCTCTCCCTCTCTCCCTCCGCTGCCCTCTCTCCCTCCTCTGCCCTCTCTCCCTCTCTCCCTCCGCTGCCCTCTCTCCCTCTCTCCCTCCGCTGCCCTCTCTCCCTCTCTCCCTCCGCTGCCCTCTCTCCCTCTCTCCCTCCGCTTCCCTCTCTCCCTCTCTCCCTCCTCTGCCCTCTCTCCCTCCGCTGCCCTCTCTCCCTCTCTCCCTCCGCTTCCCTCTCTCCCTCTCTCCCTCCGCTGCCCTCTCTCCCTCCGCTGCCCTCTCTCCCTCCGCTGCCCTCTCTCCCTCCGCTGCCCTCTCCCTCCTCTGCCCTCTCTCCCTCCTCTGCCCTCTCTCCCTCCGCTGCCCTCTCTCCCTCCTCTGCCCTCTCTCCCTCCTCTGCCCTCTCTCCCTCCTCTGCCCTCTCTCCCTCCTCTGCCCTCTCTCCCTCCGCTGCCCTCTCTCCCTCCGCTGCCCTCTCTCCCTCTCTCCCTCCGCTGCCCTCTCTCCCTCTCTCCCTCCGCTGCCCTCTCTCCCTCTCTCCCTCCTCTGCCCTCTCTCCCTCTCTCCCTCCGCTGCCCTCTCTCCCTCCGCTGCCCTCTCTCCCTCCGCTGCCCTCTCTCCCTCCGCTGCCCTCTCTCCCTCCGCTGCCCTCTCTCCCTCCGCTGCCCTCTCTCCCTCCGCTGCCCTCTCTCCCTCCGCTGCCCTCTCTCCCTCCGCTGCCCTCTCTCCCTCCGCTGTCCTCTCTCCCTCCGCTTCCCTCTCTCCCTCTCTCCCTCCTCTGCCCTCTCTCCCTCCGCTGCCCTCTCTCCCTCTCTCCCTCCGCTGCCCTCTCTCCCTCCGCTGCCCTCTCTCCCTCCGCTGCCCTCTCTCCCTCCGCTGCCCTCTCTCCCTCCTCTGCCCTCTCTCCCTCCGCTGCCCTCTCTCCCTCCGCTGCCCTCTCTCCCTCCGCTGCCCTCTCTCCCTCTCTCCCTCCGCTGCCCTCTCTCCCTCTCTCCCTCCGCTGCCCTCTCTCCCTCCTCTGCCCTCTCTCCCTCCTCTGCCCTCTCTCCCTCTCTCCCTCCGCTGCCCTCTCTCCCTCCGCTGCCCTCTCTCCCTCCGCTGTCCTCTCTCCCTCCGCTGCCCTCTCTCCCTCCGCTGCCCTCTCTCCCTCCGCTGCCCTCTCTCCCTCCGCTGCCCCCTCTCCCTCCTCTGCCCTCTCTCCCTCCGCTGCCCTCTCTCCCTCTCTCCCTCCGCTGCCCTCTCTCCCTCTCTCCCTCCGCTGCCCTCTCTCCCTCTCTTTCCACCATCAGCCTGACCCTTGACTTTTCTCCCCCTCCGGGTTTTTCTGTTGTGGATATTAACCACGTTTCATTTTAAAGCAGGTATTATGTGTTTGAAGCCTCCAAACACCTTTAGTTTTAGCAAACAACAGCAGGACACGCTTTGTCGCTGCGCATGATGTGAGCTGCGTAACTTAATTTTGATTGACGCTGTCAATGACTGGGACAACGTAATTAACGTAATTAAAATATATTATTTTCTCCTAACACAATTTAACAAGTAACCCTTTTGAATCAAATCAAATGCAAAATAAATATTTAAGGGCTATTAATTTGCTCAATTATTTTTTTATTTTTGTTGTTGTTTGGAAATCATCTTGCAACCCCCCCAGGGGTTCCCGCGACCCCCCGGGGGGTCGGGACCCCCACTTTGGGAACCCCTGCTCTATAGGATGTGCTGAATAGGATGGTGTTGTCAGTGTACTGCAGGTCAGTTAGGTGGTAGTTCCCGACGGACACTCCGGGGATCACAGACCAGAACCGTTTTAATAAGTGGGCCATTAGAAAGTGGATATTATAAAACTCAATTTAATTCTTGTATCTGATCCTTTTATGAAGTTTATTACGGTACAATCAGGAACCACATTGAAAAAATATGTAAATAAGTTGCATCCGAGATTGATACAATTGCTCACCTGGTCATATTCTCAATACATTTTATGCTTTTTGTAGACCCTGAATATGTATATTTTGACCTTCACCAAGATTAACCTTCAAAGTGGTTAAGAAGCTGAGATGACATGGCTCTTAGATTACTTTGATATTGTTTGAAGAGCGTACACGGTTATAATTGTAAAGCTTACATAGTTTGTCTGAGTACAAGGTGTGCGTGTGTGTGTGGCACCTGCACGCTGCAGCAGCTGCAGGTTAGCTGGCAGACTATCCTGGGGACTGTTCACAGCAATGCGGATCTTCAGCTTTGGAGAAAGATGAGCCAGAGCGTCCAGAACCGCCTCCCCCTGACCACACACACACACACACACACACACATACACATACACACAGGTTGAAAAACAACTAGCACACCTTGAACTTATAAGCATAACAAAATGTGCATGTTTACAACCACAAAAGTCTAAATTTTTTATTTCAGATAAGATAAGCATAAGAGTTCATTATGAGCAATTCTTCCACAATTAGATCCACACTTTGAGCCTCTAGTGTGCTATTGACAATAGGTTGTGTGTCATACAACGTACTGTATGACACACAACAGTACCGTGTATGACAGGTAGACCTTCTTCAGAATTAGGTTTTGGGCTGCTACAGTGAAGCCAAAATGATTGTAATTTTATTTTAATAAATAAACTGAACACTGAAGACCGCAAGGAGGCAAAGTGAGCTGGAGGAAGTGTGTGTGATAAATCCCCGTAGGGCAATTCATCCTCGGCATTTTACCCATCCTGATGCCGCTAAGGTCAGGAGTAGTGGTTGCTGTAGTGCAGCGCCCGGGGACCCATGTCCAGATGTTGATGCTTGGCACCACTACCAGAGCTGGAAGATTAATTGTTGTACATGTTTTAGTGGTAGAGGAAACCAGAGCACCTGGAGGAAACCTCCACAGGGAGAACATGCAAACTCCACTCAGAAAGACCTTGTTCCAACCAGGATTTGAACTCAGGACCTTCTTGCTGAGAAGCGAGAGTGCTATCCACCAGGAGTATAGAATCTGAATCAGATACTAGATGAGGGATGGCCAACCAGTCAGAGGCTGATGGTGCTTTCAGACCGCAAACGCTGAAACGCTGAAGCCCCGCTCACCAGACGCGTATTCTCTAGTTTTCAGACGCAGAGGACTTCACACCAGAACGTCCTGACGTGAGCCGGAAGTACCGGAAGTAGCCGGCTCTGATGCTAACAGAGCTATGCTAGCGGCTTCTTGTGTACAGATCTTCTCCAATATGTAGCTTTGCAGCGTGTCTTTGCTCACAGACATTGCACAGGCTTTATATAACAGTAGTATGTGTTCACGGAGGTGCGCCATACGTTTTTTTGTATTATTAAACAACATTTCCGCATCGGCGAACACACTCGAAGCAGTTGCATAAGGTCACGGGAGCATGACAATGCCTATATTTACAAGCACAGAGTCCCCCATTGTCAACCCTGGTCTAGTCCTGGTCTAGTCCTGGTCTAGTCCTGGTCTAGTCCTGGTCTAGTCCTGGTCTAGTCCTGGTCTAGTCCTGGTCTAGTCCTGGTCTAGTCCTGGTCTAGTCCTGGTCTAGTCCTGGCCTAGTCCTGGTCTAGTCCTGGCCTAGTCCTGGCCTAGTCCTGGTCTAGTCCTGGTCTAGTCCTGGTCTAGTCCTGGTCTAGTCCTGGTTTAGTCCTGGTTTAGTCCTGGTTTAGTCCTGGTTTAGTCCTGGTCTAGTCCTGGTCTAGTCCTGGTCTAGTCCTGGTCTAGTCCTGGTCTAGTCCTGGTCTAGTCCTGGTTTAGTCCTGGTTTAGTCCTGGTTTAGTCCTGGTTTAGTCCTGGTTTAGTCCTGGTTTAGTCCTGGTTTAGCCCTGGTTTAGCTCCTGTTTTGGCTGTTTACAGTATGTTCAGTCTGCTCACTCAGAACACCAATGTCCCCGTGACCACTTTGCTGCTCTCTGATTGGTCGCTGCAAGAACGTCCCGAGGAAAAGCTGAGTAAAGTTTATCTCCTGTGGGCGTCCATTTTCTGCTCCTGCTCCTCCCCTTTCACTTTCCCGCCAACTCCGTGCGGCTCGACTCAGCGGTCCGTAAGCAGTGTTGTGCCCGTTCACAACTTTTCTGAACTAGTTCAAGTTCAGTTCATACATGCTCAAAGTGAACAGTTCACGTTCGAAGTTCTCAATTTTAATTCTGAACTAGTTCAAAGTTCAGTTCATTTAACTTTTTGCGAGATATTCAAATAAATATTTTTTTTCACTACGAGCTAGAAATCACCATACGTGGTATATACATATATGTATATATATATGTTATATATAATTATATCCTGTACACTGCACAGGATGTTTTGACTCCAATGCAGATTGACATGGGTTTCAATGGGAACTGAGTTGTCCCATCTCTGCTCATAAGTACAAACTGTAATGCGCTGCAGAACGTGTGTCTATACTTTATGTCAAATGTAAACGGCCCTGTGTCACTGACTTACCCCTGTGTTTTCATCACGGCACATGTGAGTCCAACAACCAATGAATAGCACTAGCATATAGCGCCGCACCGCAAGTACACTGAGTCGGGGTGCGTTCACAGATGGTGGAAACCGTAGGAATTTTTATTTTTCGGCGGAAACAGTGCGGAGAATACAGGAGGGAGGAACTTTCTCTCGTTGCGTTTCAAAAGAGAAAACAGATTTCACTCAGTTTTAAATGGAAAACAAATTGTCTGCCGTTCATGACACATAATATGAACTAATTCACGTTCAAGTTCTTTATTAAAAAATGTGTTGCGTTCAGTTCAACGTTCACAAAAAAATGAGCGTGTTCAATGAACGCATTCTTTTGAACTCGTTCACGCACAACACTGTCCGTAAGTGCGTGTCGGGAGGTCGGTGCGTTTGGAAGCTGCAACGCGCGTCACCATAGACTTTGCATTGAAACCCAACGCGACGCATGATTCGGTCTGAACGCGCCTTAAGAGCCAATTTTTGTACTGGATTACTGCAAAGGCACGCACGCACACACCTCTGCTCAGCCAGATTTATTGTAAATGTTCCACAGCAACATGATAATGACAGAAATTGACTCCTACAGTACTAAATGGCTCGAGTCGACTCACCCTGGTTTGCGGGCGTTTCCGCCAGCTCGCTTTAGCCGCGACCTGGTACTTTTTTAGTAACTGCTTGGCCCTGGTTCTAGCCGGGCTGAGTAAGGCAAGGCAAGTTTATTTGTATAGCACAATTCATACACAAGGCAACTCAAAGTCCTCAACAAAATAAAGCATTGAAATCATAAATGATCACAGTACATTAAAAAGAAAGATACAAATATAACATATAAAATCCCTCAGTTGTAGCACAGCTAAACAGCACCGTTTTTAACCTGGTTTTAAACATTGTCAGAGAGGAGGCCTGTCTCACATCTTCAGGAAAACTGTTCCAGATTTTTGCGGCATGAATCTGAAAAGCAGCCTCCCCATGTTTAGTTCTGACTCTGGGCACTAACAGGAGTCCAGTCCCTGTGCTCCTCAGAGTCCCAGCAGGAGTCCAGTCCCTGTGCTCCTCAGAGTCCCAGCAGGAGTCCAGTCCCTGTGCTCCTCAGAGTCCCAGCAGGAGTCCAGTCCCTGTGCTCCTCAGAGTCCCAGCAGGAGTCCAGTCCCTGTGCTCCTCAGAGTCCCAGCAGGAGTCCAGTCCCTGTGCTCCTCAGAGTCCCAGCAGGAGTCCAGTCCCTGTGCTCCTCAGAGTCCCAGCAGGAGGCCAGTCCCTGTGCTCCTCAGAGTCCCAGCAGGAGTCCAGTCCCTGTGCTCCTCAGAGTCCCAGCAGGAGGCCAGTCCCTGTGCTCCTCAGAGTCCCAGCAGGAGGCCAGTCCCTGTGCTCCTCAGAGTCCCAGCAGGAGTCCAGTCCCTGTGCTCCTCAGAGTCCCAGCAGGAGTCCAGTCCCTGTGCTCCTCAGAGTCCCAGCAGGAGTCCAGTCCCTGTGCTCCTCAGAGTCCCAGCAGGAGTCCAGTCCCTGTGCTCCTCAGAGTCCCAGCAGGAGTCCAGTCCCTGTGCTCCTCAGAGTCCCAGCAGTCAGCAGGGGGGACCCAAGACAGGTCCATGGGAGGTGGCGAGGGAGTCTTTGATGGAGGGGCAGGTGGTTGAGGAAACCCCAGCACAGGCCAGTCTGCTGTAGGCTGGGGTGAGGATGGGGGCTTCAGAGGCGCTGTAGATGAAGAAGGCGTGGCTGCTTTGGAGCAGGCTGGGGATGAGGATGGTGGTGGTGCTCGTGCTGCTGGTGCTGCTACTGGTGATGATGCAGCTGCTGCTGGTGATGATGCAGCTGCTGCTGGTGATGATACAGCTGCTGCTGGTGATGATGCAGCTGCTGCTGGTGATGATGCAGCTGCTGCTGGTGATGATGCAGCTGCTGCTGGTGATGATGCAGCTGCATCTGATGACAGTGGAGGTGTTGAGATCCTTCGAGGTGGTGGAGGTGTTGAGATCCTTCGAGGTGGTGGAGGTGTTGAGATCCTTCGAGGTGGTGGAGGTGTTGAGATCCTTCGAGGTGGTGGAGGTGTTGAGATCCTTCGAGGTGGTGGTGGTGTTGAGATCCTTCGAGGTGGTGGAGGTGTTGAGATCCTTCGAGGTGGTGGAGGTGTTGAGATCCTTCGAGGTGGTGGAGGTGTTGAGATCCTTCGAGGTGGTGGAGGTGTTGAGATCCTTCGAGGTGGTGGAGGTGTTGATCTTTCGAGGTGGTGGTGGTGTTGAGATCCTTCGAGGTGGTGGAGGTGCAGAGACTTTTGGAGTTGGCTTCCTCCCTTTCGATGGCTGCACGCGCTGCGCAGGCTGAGGTCTCAGGGCAAAAGAAAGGTTATCCATCAACACTTTTACTCCGTAAGTGTTCAGATGTGGCCCTTTCCCTTCAAAAAGCTCATGCCTATTCCAGAACAGATTAAAATTCTCAATGAAGGCAAGTCCTCTGCGTGAACATTCGTTGAGTAGGAAAGTATTTAGCTGATACAGACGACTGAATTTCATTTGCTTCCCGTCCACATTTGGTAGTGGGCCACTGATTAAAAAATTTAAGTCAATTTTTGCAAGGTCGTCCAATAAGAGAATAATCCCGTTTCAACTTTTCACTGGTCATATCATAGACGTCTACTGCCCCCACGTGGATCAACAATCTTTTTACACCACAATGTTCAGAAAGGAGCTTTTTACTCAACAGTCTTATCTCGTCGACCTGCTGATTCATCTTCCAAAAGTGGTGAAAAGCGGTTTCTTGTAATTAAAGATTTTTGCTGTGGCATTATGACACTCTTGTTATCATTAGCTTTGCCTTGTTTGGGCTTGGCACCATATGTGTTCCAACAATTGTCTCTGTTGATTTTGGGAAATGAAATAGCGTCATCATAACTTACGTTCTGTCCATGTGGTCCATTTCCTTTTACTGGTATTGTTGTGTTCAGCCCCAATTCTGATTCAAGCACAAACATTCGGTCTTGAAGAAGTTTTAGCTCCTGTTTGAGTGAAAAACAGCCGTCGCAAAGTTTCCTCCTTTTTTCCGTCATGCTGTAAATTCCACAAGTCTTGTATTGAAGTTTGTAAAAAGGAGTAATCCGTATTTTGTCGAATAAAAATGTGAATAAAAATGTAAATAAAAATGATTAAAGGCGATTAAAGAGCAGCGAGCACAGGACAAGAGCAGGAAGTAGTTACCAAAACAATCTCACGTCAACGATAGTGCTTTCAATATCTAACAAAGACCTTTTTTTGAGTTTCAACCCAGTATTCAGCATATAACACAACGACTGTCTTTAAACATGAATCCATGATTCATGTTTCCACTTTAGCCATTTTAGACTTTAGAACCACAGACACACGTTCAGTTTACGACCAGACACCGTTGCATTTGATTGAAGACAGACACTCACCATTTCTCTCAAACTCATCATTTGGGACAAAGCCGGTGTAGCTAGTGAAAGTGTGTTAGCTGGTGTAGCTGGTGTTGACTAGTGTTAGCTTGTTAGCTGGTGTTAGCCGATGTCCGTAATTATATCCAGGTCAAACCACTTCCAGACTTTTCGGTTCTGCCTCTACTTCTGCTTCGGCCCTGACTACTTGGATGAGCTTGCCACGTAGGGAATGAGTGGCAGCGCTTTTGACGCTTGTCATGTGAAAGCCCGAGAGCCACATGGAACCAGCCAAAGAGCCGCATGAGGCTCACGACCCGCGGGTTGGCCACCCCTAGATGATCTCTAATCTAAACTTTGTGTATATACTTACAATTATTTTGTTTTTCATTATCTGCTATTATGTGACTTGATTAGCACAGTTTAGTTTTACTATTTATTAGTATTAGGCCTCCCCAATACGAAGTATTGGGGAGGCCTATTGTTATTCACCGGTTTCATATTATTATTTTTTTTCCGCCGAAACAATTCGATTTTTGACCCTGAAGACATGCACGAAAGTCTGCACATGGGGGGTCTAAAACGACCGGTTCGGCGAAACATTTGATAAAACGGACGTTTCGAGATTGTCCGACAAAAGGCGAATCAATAGCGCCCCCTTGAAAATTCAAAATTTGCCATTTCTATTGGAGGCAGGATTGCATATTTTGGAGTAGGTGCACAAAATTCGGATGAGTGATAGATCTCTATGAGACGAGCATAAAAGCTGGTCTAAGCACATGTCTGGGACCAACAGGAAGTCGGCCATGATGGGCCAAAGTTTCGCCACTAATTTGACTTTTCATTTATAAATTTGAACTAGTCCCTGGTTTTTCATCACACAGAGTTCTACCACGTCATTTCCTAATCTGGACGGATTGAAGTTATATAATCATCAAAAAAAAGTTAGAAAATCTTCACCGTTTTCATCCCTCGCCATGGCGAATAAGGCCTTCGTTTTGGCCATTTTCGCTGAGCCCTGAGGGCCACAGGCTCAGACCTACAGAGCTGAGACTCACATCAGTAATATTAGGTTATGGCCTGAACGCAATGACACTAAAATCATTCGCCCAATTTGAGCTCTTTAGCGCCACCTGTCGGAAAGTAATAGGGCACTAGTGCTCGGATCGGCCCGAAAATTGCTGAGTGTATTCTCTGGACCGAGACGAGCAAAACATTACATTACGCAAAAGTTGTACGTCCCACACCTGACCACTGGGGGCGCCGGAAAGTGAATGAATGAGCTTTTTAGGGCAAAATGTTTGTCCGATGAGGCTAAAAATGAATTCAGAAATACAACGTATGACCCTGAACACAACGATATGCAACATACAACTGTGAGTGCAACAGCGCCACCTACAGGCAGTTCAAGGTGTCGCATTTTTGGCTTCGTACTAGTCCCTGGATTTTCATCGCACAGACTTCTACCATGTCATTTCTCCATCTGGACGGATTTAAGTTATGCAATCATCGCATAAAAGTTAGAATTTTTTTATCGTTTTCATGCGAGGTAGTAGGGAATTTCTCCATGTTTGATGCTCTCGTGACCACAGGCTCCGACCTACAGAGCTGAAACTCACATTACTAACAGTTGGTAATGACCTGAGAGTAATGGTGTGAAAACACACACCTAATATGACTCTACAGCGCCACCTATGGAAGGCTTCTGACCTAAACTTTTCCGATCTTCACCAAAGTTGCAAAATCAAATCTTTACATCTGTACGAGCAAAATACTACTCTACGTAGAGGGTGCATGTCCCGGAGGTGACCACTAGGGGCGCACTTTATCATATAAATGAGCTTTTATGTACGTAATCCTGGTCAGATCGGGCTGCCAATTCGTCGGCGTGACGCTTGTGGGACTGGCGCCCAGGAGGCGGTCGCAAGAGGGGCGAGGCCTTTCATCGCCGCTTGCGGCTTTAATTATTATTTGTTGCTCAAATAGAACATATAATATCTGGTATAACATATGGATCCTACCTGAGCTGCGGAGGGGTCTTCTGTCCCAGTGTCTGCATTAGTGAGGGTCCAGTAGAAGGAAGCGATGTCTAGGCTGCTTTGGGCCTGGCTCATCAGTGTCTGCCAGGCCTGGAACACACTGGGGTGGGCCAAACTGGAATTAAACACCAGCCCCTCCGGAATGCTCTCCACCAGCACCAATCTGAGCCCGAGAACAAAGAAAATAAAGCTTTCGTAAACACATTACGGGACATTAAGGATTTCATCAACACACGCACACTTATGGATCTGTCTGACGTTGAACTCCTACAAGGAGTTTTCACAATGTAGAAACCATTTTCTGGTCCTGATATTTTATTACTTCTTGTTCGCATTGTGGGTTCATGCATAACAGGAACAGGAGAAAAGGGTCTCTTTGGGGAACTTTGCAGATCCTGCTCTGGTTCTGATTCTCTCCAGGCACCACAAACCTTTTGGTGACACATGTGAAACACTGTTTATGAAGAACTTTCTTTGACTTATTATTTCAAGTCAAAGAAATAGTCTTATAAAAGTCAGACCACAACATGTATGAAAGCTAATTTAAAGATAAAATACATCCACTAATTCCTTGTTATTAAAAATATATTTGTTGTGGTTTTAAAGTTAGGTAGGCCTACACCAATTGTATGCATGCTATGCCTAGTTGCGTAGAATAGACCCATAAACATAAGCCTGTATAATGCCCATAAACAGGTGGACACAGGAGCACACCTTGGAGTAAAGAGCATGTGGGTTAGGGTGTGGCAGGATACAAGTGTAGTTTGGTGTGTACTGGCGATAAAATAAAGTCTTATTCTTGAACGTCTGCAGTTATTGCAATAGCTCAACACTGACAGCAGGGGTCAGAACAGAAGGGAGTTCTCCCCGTAGGAAATGCTTCCCTTTGGCCCTGGAGTGACAAATCTCGCTTGCGCCCCTCAACCACGGCCCACCCGCCACATTGACCCCCCCTCACCTGGGCTTTAGAAGCGTGCTCATGGTGCGTTCAGACCAAACGCGCTTTGAGCGGCCAAAGCGGCGGGTTTACATTGGAATAACATGGGGGACGCGCGTCAAGGAGCGGCGAGAGATCACGTGCAAAGCGGTCTAAGGCGCGGCGCCTTTGACCGCTTTGCACGTTTTGAGATTTCAAGCGCTTTGATGCGCGTTTCGCGCGTCCCGCGCTTCCAACGCGGCCGACGCTCGAGTTGAACATTGTTGAACTTTTTGGGAGAAGACGTGAGCGTCGAGCAATCAGGAGCTTCCTCCAACAGTGACGACAGGACCGAGGGGAAGACAACACATCAGCTGTGGAGGACAAGCTGTGCTGTTAGCCCCGCGGACTTAACCACCGTGACATGGAGGAGGTCAGTGTCTCTGGTAACTTATCTAAACTTTTAACAATCGTTAATACTTCCTTGCACAAAATCTGTAATGTCGCAGGGAGAAACAAACCCACAGATTAAAGCTACACAGAGGAAACAGTCCATGGAGACAGCAGCTATAGTATGCTAACATGTGGTATGCTAACACTGTTATCTGTATTCATATTAAATAGATTGTGTATATCCCATACTGAAACTGGGAATACTGTATATTTATATACGTTTACTGTATATATTTGGCTTATTATGAAGCACTTCATACAATAGTTTGATAAATATATGTGTAGAATGATTAAATAATCCTGTGTCTGTTACTCCTGTGTCTGTTACTCCTGTGTCTGTTACTCCTGTGTCTGTTACTCCTGTGTCTGTTACTCCTGTGTCTGTTTCTCCTGTGTCTGTTACTCCTGTGTCTGTTACTCCTGTGTCTGTTACTCCTGTGTCTGTTACTCCTGTGTCTGTTACTCCTGTGTCTGTTACTCCTGTGTCTGTTTCTCCTGTGTCTGTTTCTCCTGTCGCTCCTCCTGCTGCTCCTCCTGCTGCTCCTCCTGCTGCTCCTCCTGCTGCTCCTCCTGTCGCCCTCTAGTGTCCCAAGTTGCTCTGTGACAGTCTGTCCTCTAGTGTCCCAAGTTGCTCTGTGACAGTCTGTCCTCTAGTGTCCCAAGTTGCTCTGTGACAGTCTGTCCTCTAGTGTCCCAAGTTGCTCTGTGACAGTCTGTCCTCTAGTGTCCCAAGTTGCTCTGTGACAGTCTGTCCTCTAGTGTCCCAAGTTGCTCTGTGACAGCGTTTGCCACAATTTGTCACAAGCGTCCCAAGACGCGCGTCAGACGTGATTTGGCCGCTCAAAACGCGTTTGGTCTGAACGCACCATTAGACCCACCTCTCTCAACCATGCCCAAGCCAGGTTGCCGCGATCGCACCTAAAGCCCGGATCAAATCGCAAAGGGGGCCATGGCCCACATTAACTGGGCTTTAGGCTGTGCATGTGACCACAGCCTGAGTGTGTACATACTCGCAGGGGTCCGAGCAGGGAGCATCTTCACTGAGGAGTGGTCCTGGACGTGGGATCAGGAGGATGACTGCCGCCAACACGCTCAGCAGCACCGTGGTCAGGACAAGCAGTAGTGTGCACTGTAGAAAAAACACTAATTTCAGACCATTCTTTGAGTTATTAACCGATTTTTAAACCAGAAATGAGATCAGCACCAGGTGTCTTTGTGAAAAGATGTTTTCTGCTTTAAAAAAATAAGAAAGAGACTTCCGGTGAGCAACCGAAATGGCGACAGCCTAACCTCGTGGCTTCCCGAACAAAGTAGAGATACCCCCCTCTTCCCTTGTATTTGAGAGTGCCAAATTGATAAACGAATAGGAACAACTGAGAAGAAATGACCCGAGGCAAACAAAGTAAGTCTGCGAGACTCCAACCACTGGTGGATGATGATACTGCGGGAGAAGAAGCAGCGGCTAGTCCAACTAGCCAAGCTGCTAGCACTTCAGACACGGAGGGGACTACGGAGGATTTAATGGCTAATGACTCGGCTAATTTACAAACTATACTTTGTGAGCTAAGGAGTTTACGACGTGAAAATGGAGAAAACTTCTGCGAGCTCAAAGAAGAAATTAAAAAAGTTAATACGAGAATTGACGACGCGGAAGATCGCATTGACGAAGTGGAGAATAGGACCCAGCGGCTTGAGGAAACTACGCTTGAACTCATAAAAATACAAGAGGTACTCAACGCAAAAATCTCAGAGTTAGAAGGGAGATCGCGAAGAGATAATATTCGAATTCACGGTATCGCAGAGGGCGCAGAAGACGGATCTCCATCTGTTCCTGACTTCATTAAGAATCTGCTCAGGGAAAAACTGGATTTGCCCCAGTCTCTGGACTTGACCATAGACAGAGCGCACCGCTCCCTGGGATCAAAGCCGCCACCCGAGGCCCCACCACGATCAGTGGTAATCAAGTTTTCGCTGTATCGGACCAAGGATGAAGTTTTGAAACGGGCATGGCAAAGAAAGGGATTTACGCTGAACGAGAAAAAGGTGATAATCGATCACAACTATGCCCCTGATGTGTTGAAAAAACGACGTGAATACAACGAAGCTAAACGGGTCTTGAGAGAAAATAACATAAGATTTCAAACCCCATACCCGGCGAGGCTGAGGGTGTTCTACGAGGGAGACACACGGGTGTACAGTACAGCAGCCGAAGCAACAAAGGATATGGCCAGCTGGATATACAGTCACCATTATAACCCCGCAGACGTCATTGGCCGAAAATCTCAAAAGGCACAATGTGGCACAAAGTAGCGCGCACAGAGGAAGCGAGAGACGAAAGTTCCACTCGAGGATACAAGAAGAGATTGGAAGCTTTCCGAAGACAATGATCAAGAAATACGTTTTTCCCACCGGGGAGGAAGAGGGGGGGGGGATCACCTTATGAAGAAACACCGGGGAGCAGAGAGCAGAAATGCACCAACCAGCTAACGCCACTAGAGGGCGCTGCACAGCCATCGGGCGGTACAGGCTTTCCCTCTACATCGCTCACAACACTTAACACACAGGTCACTGAGGAGACCGCAGAGATGGGAGTCACTCTGTCTTTTTGGACTCATAGTTTTGTTGAAGAAAAATGTTTGTTAAAATTGTTCATTGTTTTGTTTTGTTTGAGTAGCGTAGGGAACCACCTGCTTATATACAATAATGAAACCAGCAATGGCCTCTCCATCTTTAATTCGCTTCAGTACATATAATGTTAAAGGAGTTTTAGGGCCAAGATTTTGGGGAAAATGAAAAGGGAAAAAATTGGAGTGGTTTTCTTACAGGAAACTCACTTATCTGAAACGGAACATCAGAAGTTAAAAAGACAAGGATTTGGTCACGTGTTTTCTGAATCCCATGTTTCGGGTCGGAACAGGGGAGTGGCCACACTCATTTCTAACAAAGTGTCGTTTGAAAAAATAGCCGAACATAAAGACAAGGAGGGTCGATATAATATGGTCATAGGTCGACTTGAAGGTTTAGAGATTACCTTTATTAATGTTTATGCCCCCCCTGGGTCATCATGGTCTTTTTACAAATGTGTAATTGATATGATGGCCACAAAGGCACAAGGTATTGTTATCTGTGGTGGGGATTTAAATAAAGCGCTTTTTCATACAACAGATGCAACACAAAGTGCTTTACAGTTTGGCTAAAAAACAATCCTGCCCATGCCCTCCCCCCGACCGCCCAACAGACCCTCCCCAGACCACAAGCACTTTGGGGATGGTTAGGAGTCTGCTGCCGGAGGAGCGCAGGGGCCGGGAGGGTTCATAGGATAAAAGCAGTTCTGAAAGATAAGAAGGCCCAAGACCATTAAGACATTTGAAAACCATTAGGAGAACCTTAAAATCAATCCTGAAACACACGGGGAGCCAATGCAGCGATTTTAAAACCGGTGTAATGTGGTCCCGCCCCCTGGTCTTAGTCAGGACACAAAGGCACAAGGTATTGTTATTTGTGGTGGGGATTTCAATGTAAGACTGAACCCTTTAGAGGACTCTTCCGCACAGACCTCGCACAATAATACTGGGAAAAAATTGAAAAAGTTAATGAAGGAATTGGGAATTGGAGATGTGTGGCGTGAATTACACCCCCACCAGAGGGATTATACATTTTACTCTGCAACACATCGTTCCTATTCAAGACTGGACTATTTTTTCATGTATAATAAAGACCTAGGTCGGGTGAGTGAGTGCTGCTTTGGATCAATGGACCTCTCTGATCACTGTCCTGTGTACATGAAGCTAGACATAGACAAGATTAAAACACCTTTTTTATGGAGACTTAACTCGAGCATACTTAAAGGAGAAATCAGAGAAGAAATTAAAAATGACATCAAATTGTATATTCGAGACAATGATAATGATGAAGTTTCTCCCGAAATATTATGGGATGCATGTAAAGCGGTCCTGAGGGGTAAATTGATTGCAAAGAGCACTCTTCTTAAAAAAAGATGAGAACAGAGAATCAAGACATTGGAGCAAAAACTTATCAACTTGGAAGAAAAACACAAAAATAGTGGAGACGATGATACCCTGCAAAAATTAAAAGAAATTAAACGCGAAATCAATCAAGAATTACAGAATAAAATAAAGACTCAACTACTTTATCTAAAACAGAGCTATTATGAAGCAGGAAGTAAATCTACAAAGGTCCTGGCCTACAGACTTAAAAAAACAACAAGCAGAAAGATCTGTATACAAAATAAGAGATCCCTCTACTAATGAAGTCACATATAAAGAGTTTGAAGTTAGAGACATTTTTGCTGGATATTATCGGAAACTTTATAGTTTAAAGGAGCCAGATAAGGAAGATATGACCTCACCAATTTTAAACCAATTGGAATTGCCTATGCTCTCTAGTGAACAAAATACAACTTTAACAAGGAATATAAATGCTCAGGAACTGGCAAAGGCAGTTAAAAGGCTCAAACTGAATAAATCTCCAGGTTCCGACGGCTACAATGCTGACTGGTACAAGATATACCTGGAAGAACTTTCACCTCTACTCCTTAAGACATTTAACTGGGTTTTGAACGGGGGTCAAATCCCACCAACTTGGAAAGAGACCATTATCACAGTTATCCCAAAGGATGGTAAGGACAAATTAGATTGCTCAAATTTCAGACCCATTAGTTTACTGAATCAGGATTATAAGATCTTCACCTCCATCTTGGCCAAAAGACTGGAAAATATTCTCCCGGACATAATAAATTTGGACCAGACAGGCTTTATCAAGGAGAGGAAAACTAGAGATAATATAAGACGCACACTACATGTGATTCATCAAATACAGAAAGATAAAAAACCAGCTGTTGTTTTGGGCCTGGACGCACAAAAAGCATTTGACACTGTAGATTGGGCTTTTCTTTATAAAGTACTTTCCAAATTTAACTTTACCGAAAAGTTTATAAAAATAATACAAGGATTATATAACAAACCTATAGGGAAAATTAGAATAAATGGAGGTCTATCAAATCCTCTAAATATTGAACAAGGTTGTAGACAGGGCTGTCATTTATCTCCGATTTTATTTGCCATTTTTATTGAGCCCCTGGCACAATATATCAGACAAAATAGAAAGATAAAAGGCATTAAAGTAAATGAGAAGGAACAGAAGATTGCCCTGTTTGCTGATGATGTCCTAGTTTACTTGGCTAAACCCACTGAATCTCTTTCTCAACTGCATAAAGTTTTAATGGAATTCAGCAACATCTCAGGCTATAGATTAAATTCTCATAAATCACAAGTATTGTCATTCAACTACAACCCAGAAGATCCCATAAAGAAAATATTTAAAATCAATTGGTGCATGGACTCAATAACATACTTGGGAGTACATATTCCAAAGGACATACAAACTTTAAAGTCAATAAACTACGATCCGCTTATTGCTAAAATTAAAACTGATTTGAATAGATGGAGCCTGATCCCCTATCTAGGACTTTTACATAAAGTAGAAGCAATTAAGATGGTAATCTTGCCTAAACTATTATACCTATTTCAAACAATACCTGTTGACTCTTCAACAACAATGTTCCAGGAACTGGATAAATTATTTTCAAGGTTTATCTGGGAAGGGAAAAAACCTAGAATAAGATACAAAACTCTACAAATGGCAAGAAACAGGGGTGGACTCTCTCTTCCAAATCTGAAGAATTATTACAGAGCGGCCCAACTAAGCCCACTGTTTGATATTTGCAGCTCATCATATACAGCAAAATGGAAAGAAATTGAATATAGATCTGAAGTAATCCCCGTACCGGCAATGATTGGCAACACAAATTTAATGAGTAATGTAAGGGATCTTAACCCATGGACCAAGGCAGCTCTTGATATCTGGTCAAAAATAATAAAGGACAATCCAAAATGCACCCTTATGATCAAATGGATTGCGTATGACAAGGACTTTACCCCAAATGTAGGAGATAAAACATTTAAAAATTGATCTGACAAAGGTTTAATGACTTACAATCAGTTTTATCATAAAGATCAAATGAGGAGCTATCAAGATTTGAAAAGGACCTACAATCTTGACAACAAAGACTTTTTCCGATACCTCCAGGTCCGCCACTACTTGAACCACAATTATAGTGACCATACAAAGCAGCTGTCGGGATTAATAACAATATTTATAAAAGCATATCAGCAAGGACCAAACAATAAGTTGATTTCTAAACTATATGATGAGCTGCAAAACTTGCAGAATGAAAATATACTGTATATTAAAGAAAAATGGGAGAAAGAGGGTAATCTCTCCATACAAATGGAAAACTGGGTTAAAATCCCTGTTAATGTATGGAAAAGCACATCATCCCCTGTATGGAGAGAGTTTTCATGGAAATGTATGGTACGTTTTTTTAAAACTCCAGTCCAGAGAGGCCCAAGTGCTGATACTTCATGTTGGAGGTTATGTGGAACCAAACGGGCTGGCCATCACCACATATTCTGGAGTTGTTCAAAAATAACCAATTACTGGATGGCTATTAAACAGGGCATTGACACAGTTTTTGGCATTAATGTTCCTTTGAATTTTGAAACTATGTTTTTGGGGATACAACCAGACTGTATAAAAGGGGCGAGTAAAAAATATATGTGGAATGTTTTACTGACAGCAAGCAAAAAAGCTATCACAAAGAAATGGATGACAGACAGAACACCTGTGTTGGGGGACTGGATATCACTTGTTAAAGACATTTTTCATATGGAGAGAATGACTTTTGCACTAAGACTGGATCACGACAGATTTGAGGACTATTGGAAATGTTGGACACATTATACCAACACTTAAGGACACGTGTGATATCCCTTTGCTACTCAATTGTTCTTTTGTTTTTGTTCTATTATGTAAAAAAAAAAAAAAAAAAAGTGTTAACAAATGTACTAATTCTAATGTACCATGTATGTAACATCGTGTAGATTGTTAATGTAAGAACTGCTGATCGAGTCAATAAAAATTTTAATTATAAAAAAAAAAAAAATCATCTTCAGGTGTGTCTTTGATGAGGAACAAGGTTGTAACATGGTGAAAACATGACAAGGCAAACTGTCAAAGTGACCCACCACAAGAGCTCTTCTCTGGGACCGCCGCTCCCACTGCAACAGCTGCAACACAAACATCACTGCTTGTTTAGTTTACACAAGAAAACATTATTGGCATGTCCATATAGTGGAGATGACACTTTTTACTCAACAGTGTTTGTGTGAAGAATTTAATTGTAAAACGTGTTTTCAAATTTCAAACTATAACAGTATCCTCCTTAAGCCACTCTGGGGAGAGCTCGAATGTACTGTCCATGCAAGGTAGCCCATAAGTTACAGGAACTGGAGGCGTTTGGCCAATAAGAGAGAGCAGCTTTAGAATCAGAGTCTCGTCTCGTCTCCCCCCCGCTCTCTCTCTCTCGTCTCCCCCGCTCTCTCTCTCTGTCTCCCCGCGCTCTCTCTCTCGTCTCCCCCGCTCTCTCTCTCTCGTCTCCCCCGCTCTCTCTCTCTCGTCTCCCCCGCTCTCTCTCTCTCGTCTCCCCCGCTCTCTCTCTCTCTCGTCTCCCCCGCTCTCTCTCTCTCGTCTCCCCCGCTCTCTCTCTCTCGTCTCCCCCGCTCTCTCTCTCTCGTCTCCCCCGCTCTCTCTCTCTCTCTCTCTCTCTCGTCTCCCCCCGCTCTCTCTCTCGTCTCCCCCGCTCTCTCTCTCTCGTCTCCCCCGCTCTCTCTCTCTCGTCTCCCCCGCTCTCTCTCTCTCGTCTCCCCCGCTCTCTCTCTCTCGTCTCCCCCGCTCTCCTCTCTCTCGTCTCCCCCGCTCTCTCTCTCTCTCGTCTCCCCTGCTCTCTCTCTCTCGTCTCCCCCGCTCTCTCTCTCTCGTCTCCCCCGCTCTCTCTCTCTCGTCTCCCCCGCTCTCTCTCTCTCGTCTCCCCCGCTCTCTCTCTCTCGTCTCCCCCGCTCTCTCTCTCTCGTCTCCCCCGCTCTCTCTCTCTCGTCTCCCCCCGCTCTCTCTCTCTTATCTCCGGCGGAGACTTTAGCGGAGACTTTAGCGGAGACTTTAGCGGAGACTTTAGCGGAGACTTTAGCGGAGACTTTAGCGGAGACTTTAGCGGAGACTTTAGCGGAGAAGGCTTGTTCTCTGCAAAATGTAACTTGTCTTAGAACTTCCCAATGACAGAAGTGACTCTGGGAAACACTGTTCCCACTGACTCTGTGCAAAGCGTCTAAAGTTAGTGTTTGATGCGGTACAACACTCGCACACTGCCTCACAGCTGCACTCGCTATGATTTTCTGCACTGATTCAACGCGTTCTTACTCAAATATTTTGTATGGGAGGGCCAGGGAGGTCGTCTGACATGTCTGCCAACTAGTGGCAGGGAGTTTGACTGAATTTTGACACTCAGACACACTCGGCCGTTTTAAACAGTACCGCAGCTTGTCGACTTTAAATCGCTCACCTGTTTGTACGGGATCTCCTCAGTCATGATCATTCACAGGGTCAACACCGGAGACACATGGGTGACGGCACCGTAGGCGAGCCTGGAACCATATCAGCCAATCAGAGAGCAGCTCAATGCAAGCGGAATTCTGACACAACCTTTAAAAGATAACATTTAACCACTCCAGGAGAAGAGAATATAAATGAGAAGTAATGATAGTTCTGCAGCCGTTTGAGTTTTTAAATGTTAAAATGAAGTTCCATAATCAAACACAGCCCTGCAGGGCTTTTTTTGCTTCATCCACATTAATATGAGGAACTTGTGTTTCTTAAACTTCAGACTACAACATCAAACACATCACTGCACTCTATTTGAAAAACTTTTTTGAATCTATTTATTTTAATTGTCCCGAAAATTCAAAACAGTTTCTGTCCCAACACACCATCATATTCACGTAGAAGCACAAACTGCCTTGCAAAGAAGTTGGTAGAAGAACATTTTCATACAAGGCTGAAATTGGAATCATCGAGATACCTTACAACTTCCTGTACATTTTACTAGCTGATTTTTTATTTTATACTACCTGTATGTACATTTTTAATCTGTACTATTCTACCTGCTGCTGTATTTAAAGACAGTCAAAGAGCTGCTTTCTGAGATTATCCCCAGTCCAAAAACATGCTGCTTTACAAAAGCTCCTGGCAGTGTTGATGCAGTCATCGCTTACTCCATTGAACTGTGGCCATATAGTTCTACACATAATAAATTAACATTCCAAATCATGAAATGCCAAAATGAAAGAAAATACTTGATACTCTGATATTAGAGAGGATGGAGCTATAACAACCTTGGTGAGCTGAGGGAACATTGCTTAGGGTAAGTAATACATCAGGGTAAAACTAACCTGTCTCACGACGGACTAAACCCAGCTCACGTTCCCCATTAGCAGGTAAACAATTAAAGTTCATAAACAGACGCTTTTGCTCAATATGCATGGATGGCCTTAGAACAGAATGGCTTTTGTCACAGTGCAGCGGGACAAAGAGAAGCTTCCAGAGCCCACACAGTGACCGTCCCCAGGCCTGTTGGGCCATTCAATTCTATCCTATTCTCTGTATTTAAAATAATAATAATAATAATAATCCCAAGGCATACATCCCTAAGGTTTGTAATTGCTTTCTAAAATGGTTGGATTGTCTTATAGGCAGGGCCCAAAGACGGTACTTTTTCAAACTAATTAATTCAAAGTTTACCTTCATGAACATAGTTAACCACCTGAAACCTGTCTGTGTGGAAGGACAGGTCCATTACAGCTGCGGAGGAAGAAGTATGCACTTGCCAGTTGTCTGGGAGGATGTGAAGCGGTAGACTCCCCTCTGCACAACAGAACCAGAACTCAAATCTGGTTCTGGTCACGTTTCGGGTTCAGCACAAAACCCAGTCCAAATTCTGGTCTGAACTTGTGAGCGCGTCAGCAGCAGTCACTGCGTGTGCAGCCCAGAGCGGAAGAAGTCACATGACACTGATGTTTATGTCGCGAGACTGGAGGTGGTGACCATGTGACTGATCATGTGGCTGATCACGTGACTCATCATGTGGCGGATCACGTGACTGATCATGTGGCGGATCACGTGACTGATCATGTGGCGGATCACGTGGCTGATCATGTGGCGGATCACGTGACTCATCATGTGGCGGATCACGTGGCTTTGCTGCTGACAGAATTGGTAGTTCAGTGCACTGGCGACAGAGGTCACTATTACAGAGCAAGCGCATGGATCTGGATCTAAGCTCCAAGTAAAAGTGACCTTTGTTTTATTCAAAGTTAGGGTCAGGGTAGAAAAAAAAGCTAACGTCTAGTTTTACAGATGAGGTGGGGACAGCGCCTGGAGTTCAGAATAGAGCAGACGGGTGAAGGCACGGACAGCCTGAGACCTGTCTGTCTCATAAGGAACACTGTCCAACAGCCTGAGACCTGTCTGTCTTATAAAGAACACTGTCCTACAGCCTGAGACCTGTCTGTCTCATAAGGAACACTGTCCAACAGCCTGAGACCTGTCTGTCTTATAAGGAACACTGTCCTACAGCCTGAGACCTGTCTGTCTCATGGTAAACTCTGTCCAACAGCCTGAGACCTGTCTGTCTCATAAGGAACACTGTCCTACAGCCTGAGACCTGTCTGTCTCATGGTAAACACTGTCCAACAGCCTGAGACCTGTCTGTCTCATGGTAAACTCTGTCCAACAGCCTGAGACCTGTCTGTCTCATAAGGAACACTGTCCTACAGCCTGAGACCTGTCTGTCTCATGGTAAACACTGTCCAACAGCCTGAGACCTGTCTGTCTCATGGTAAACACTGTCCTACAGCCTGAGACCTGTCTGTCTCATAAGGAACACTGTCCAACAGCCTGAGACCTGTCTGTCTCATGGTAAACACTGTCCTACAGCCTGAGACCTGTCTGTCTCATAAGGAACACTGTCCAACAGCCTGAGACCTGTCTGTCTCATAAGGAACACTGTCCAACAGCCTGAGACCTGTCTGTCTCATAAGGAACACTGTCCAACAGCCTGAGACCTGTCTGTCTCATGGTAAACACTGTCCAACAGCCTGAGACCTGTCTGTCTCATGGTAAACACTGTCCTACAGCCTGAGACCTGTCTGTCTCATGGTAAACTCTGTCCAACAGCATGAGACCTGTCTGTCTCATGGTAAACTCTGTCCAACAGCCTGAGACCTGTCTGTCTCATAAGGAACACTGTCCAACAGCCTGAGACCTGTCTGTCTCATGGTAAACACTGTCCAACAGCCTGAGACCTGTCTGTCTCATGGTAAACACTGTCCAACAAACAGCCTGAGACCTGTCTGTCTCATGGTAAACTCTGTCCTACAGCCTGAGACCTGTCTGTCTCATGAGGAACACTGTCCAACAGCCTGAGACCTGTCTGTCTCATGAGGAACACTGTCCAACAGCCTGAGACCTGTCTGTCTCATGGTAAACACTGTCCAACAGCCTGAGACCTGTCTGTCTCATGGTAAACACTGTCCAACAGCCTGAGACCTGTCTGTCTCATAAGGAACACTGTCCAACAGCCTGAGACCTGTCTGTCTCATGGTAAACACTGTCCAACAGCCTGAGACCTGTCTGTCTCATGGTAAACACTGTCCAACAGCCTGAGACCTGTCTGTCTCATAAGGAACACTGTCCAACAGCCTGAGACCTGTCTGTCTCATGGTAAACACTGTCCAACAGCCTGAGACCTGTCTGTCTCATGGTAAATACTGTCCAACAGCCTGAGACCTGTCTGTCTCATGGTAAACACTGTCCAACAGCCTGAGACCTGTCTGTCTCATAAGGAACACTGTCCAACAGCCTGAGACCTGTCTGTCTCATGGTAAACTCTGTCCAACAGCATGAGACCTGTCTGTCTCATGGTAAACTCTGTCCAACAGCCTGAGACCTGTCTGTCTCATAAGGAACACTGTCCAACAGCCTGAGACCTGTCTGTCTCATGGTAAACACTGTCCAACAGCCTGAGACCTGTCTGTCTCATGGTAAACACTGTCCAACAGCCTGAGACCTGTCTGTCTCATGGTAAACACTGTCCAACAGCCTGAGACCTGTCTGTCTCATGGTAAACACTGTCCAACAGCCTGAGACCTGTCTGTCTCATGGTAAACTCTGTCCTACAGCCTGAGACCTGTCTGTCTCATGAGGAACACTGTCCAACAGCCTGAGACCTGTCTGTCTCATGAGGAACACTGTCCAACAGCCTGAGACCTGTCTGTCTCATGGTAAACACTGTCCAACAGCCTGAGACCTGTCTGTCTCATGGTAAACACTGTCCAACAGCCTGAGACCTGTCTGTCTCATAAGGAACACTGTCCTACAGCCTGAGACCTGTCTGTCTCATGGTAAACTCTGTCCTACAGCCTGATACCTTTTCTGTCTCATAAGGAACACTGTCCAACAGCCTGAGACCTGTCTGTCTCATGGTAAACACGGTCCAACAGCCTGAGACCTGTCTGTCTCATGGTAAACACTGTCCAACAGCCTGAGACCTGTCTGTCTCATGGTAAACACTGTCCAACAGCCTGAGACCTGTCTGTCTCATAAGGAACACTGTCCAACAGCCTGAGACCTGTCTGTCTCATGGTAAACACTGTCCAACAGCCTGAGACCTGTCTGTCTCATGGTAAACACTGTCCAACAGCCTGAGACCTGTTTGTCTCATGGTAAACTCTGTCCAACAGCCTGAGACCTGTCTGTCTCATAAGGAACACTGTCCAACAGCCTGAGACCTGTCTGTCTCATGGTAAACACTGTCCAACAGCCTGAGACCTGTCTGTCTCATGGTAAACACTGTCCAACAGCCTGAGACCTGTCTGTCTCATGGTAAACACTGTCCAACAGCCTGAGACCTGTCTGTCTCATGGTAAACACTGTCCAACAGCCTGAGACCTGTCTGTCTCATGGTAAACACTGTCCAACAGCCTGAGACCTGTCTGTCTCATGAGTAACACTGTCCAACAGCCTGAGACCTGTCTGTCTCATGAGGAACACGGTCCAACAGGCTGAGACCTGTCTGTCTCATGGTAAACACTGTCCAACAGCCTGAGACCTGTCTGTCTCATGGTAAACACTGTCCAACAGCCTGAGACCTGTCTGTCTCATGAGGAACACTGTCCAACAGCCTGAGACCTGTCTGTCTCATGGTAAACACTGTCCAACAGCCTGAGACCTGTCTGTCTCATGGTAAACACTGTCCAACAGCCTGAGACCTGTCTGTCTCATGGTAAACACTGTCCAACAGCCTGAGACCTGTCTGTCTCATAAGGAACACTGTCCAACAGCCTGAGACCTGTCTGTCTCATGGTAAACACTGTCCAACAGCCTGAGACCTGTCTGTCTCATAAGGAACACTGTCCAACAGCCTGAGACCTGTCTGTCTCATGGTAAACACTGTCCAACAGCCTGAGACCTGTCTGTCTCATGGTAAACACTGTCCAACAGCCTGAGACCTGTCTGTCTCATGGTAAACTCTGTCCAACAGCCTGAGACCTGTCTGTCTCATAAGGAACACTGTCCAACAGCCTGAGACCTGTCTGTCTCATGGTAAACACTGTCCAACAGCCTGAGACCTGTCTGTCTCATGGTAAACACTGTCCAACAGCCTGAGACCTGTCTGTCTCATGGTAAACACTGTCCAACAGCCTGAGACCTGTCTGTCTCATGGTAAACTCTGTCCTACAGCCTGAGACCTGTCTGTCTCATGAGGAACACTGTCCAACAGCCTGAGACCTGTCTGTCTCATGAGGAACACTGTCCAACAGCCTGAGACCTGTCTGTCTCATGGTAAACTCTGTCCTACAGCCTGAGACCTGTCTGTCTCATGAGGAACACTGTCCAACAGCCTGAGACCTGTCTGTCTCATAAGGAACACTGTCCAACAGCCTGAGACCTGTCTGTCTCATGGTAAACACTGTCCAACAGCCTGAGACCTGTCTGTCTCATAAGGAACACTGTCCAACAGCCTGAGACCTGTCTGTCTCATGGTAAACACTGTCCAACAGCCTGAGACCTGTCTGTCTCATGGTAAACACTGTCCAACAGCCTGAGACCTGTCTGTCTCATGGTAAACTCTGTCCAACAGCCTGAGACCTGTCTGTCTCATAAGGAACACTGTCCAACAGCCTGAGACCTGTCTGTCTCATGGTAAACACTGTCCAACAGCCTGAGACCTGTCTGTCTCATGGTAAACACTGTCCAACAGCCTGAGACCTGTCTGTCTCATGGTAAACACTGTCCAACAGCCTGAGACCTGTCTGTCTCATGGTAAACTCTGTCCTACAGCCTGAGACCTGTCTGTCTCATGAGGAACACTGTCCAACAGCCTGAGACCTGTCTGTCTCATGAGGAACACTGTCCAACAGCCTGAGACCTGTCTGTCTCATGAGGAACACTGTCCAACAGCCTGAGACCTGTCTGTCTCATGGTAAACACTGTCCAACAGCCTGAGACCTGTCTGTCTCATGGTAAACTCTGTCCAACAGCCTGAGACCTGTCTGTCTCATAAGGAACACTGTCCAACAGCCTGAGACCTGTCTGTCTCATGGTAAACACTGTCCAACAGTCTGAGACCTGTCTGTCTCATGGTAAACACTGTCCAACAGCCTGAGACCTGTCTGTCTCATGGTAAACACTGTCCAACAGCCTGAGACCTGTCTGTCTCATAAGGAACACTGTCCAACAGCCTGAGACCTGTCTGTCTCATGGTAAACACTGTCCAACAGCCTGAGACCTGTCTGTCTCATAAGGAACACTGTCCAACAGCCTGAGACCTGTCTGTCTTATAAGGAACACTGTCCTACAGCCTGAGACCTGTCTGTCTCATGGTAAACTCTGTCCAACAGCCTGAGACCTGTCTGTCTCATAAGGAACACTGTCCTACAGCCTGAGACCTGTCTGTCTCATGGTAAACACTGTCCAACAGCCTGAGACCTGTCTGTCTCATGGTAAACACTGTCCAACAGCCTGAGACCTGTCTGTCTCATAAGGAACACTGTCCAACAGCCTGAGACCTGTCTGTCTTATAAGGAACACTGTCCTACAGCCTGAGACCTGTCTGTCTCATGGTAAACTCTGTCCAACAGCCTGAGACCTGTCTGTCTCATAAGGAACACTGTCCTACAGCCTGAGACCTGTCTGTCTCATGGTAAACACTGTCCAACAGCCTGAGACCTGTCTGTCTCATGGTAAACACTGTCCTACAGCCTGAGACCTGTCTGTCTCATAAGGAACACTGTCCAACAGCCTGAGACCTGTCTGTCTCATGGTAAACACTGTCCTACAGCCTGAGACCTGTCTGTCTCATAAGGAACACTGTCCAACAGCCTGAGACCTGTCTGTCTCATAAGGAACACTGTCCAACAGCCTGAGACCTGTCTGTCTCATAAGGAACACTGTCCAACAGCCTGAGACCTGTCTGTCTCATGGTAAACACTGTCCAACAGCCTGAGACCTGTCTGTCTCATGGTAAACACTGTCCTACAGCCTGAGACCTGTCTGTCTCATGGTAAACTCTGTCCAACAGCATGAGACCTGTCTGTCTCATGGTAAACTCTGTCCAACAGCCTGAGACCTGTCTGTCTCATAAGGAACACTGTCCAACAGCCTGAGACCTGTCTGTCTCATGGTAAACACTGTCCAACAGCCTGAGACCTGTCTGTCTCATGGTAAACACTGTCCAACAGCCTGAGACCTGTCTGTCTCATGGTAAACTCTGTCCTACAGCCTGAGACCTGTCTGTCTCATGAGGAACACTGTCCAACAGCCTGAGACCTGTCTGTCTCATGAGGAACACTGTCCAACAGCCTGAGACCTGTCTGTCTCATGGTAAACACTGTCCAACAGCCTGAGACCTGTCTGTCTCATGGTAAACACTGTCCAACAGCCTGAGACCTGTCTGTCTCATAAGGAACACTGTCCAACAGCCTGAGACCTGTCTGTCTCATGGTAAACACTGTCCAACAGCCTGAGACCTGTCTGTCTCATGGTAAACACTGTCCAACAGCCTGAGACCTGTCTGTCTCATAAGGAACACTGTCCAACAGCCTGAGACCTGTCTGTCTCATGGTAAACACTGTCCAACAGCCTGAGACCTGTCTGTCTCATGGTAAATACTGTCCAACAGCCTGAGACCTGTCTGT